TAGAATCATAATATTTATTAATTAAGTTATGATACACATAAAGCATTCTTTCTTATATCAATTTAAAATATTTATATTGAAAGGATTTTGTACCTAGATCAAAATATGTACAATAGATTGAAATTAATAAAGTCAAATCTCTTATAATAATGGTGGGCCTTTAGATTAATATTGTAATTCTGTAGTTTCATTTATATTTTGAAGGCAAAAAATTTGATAAATAAAATGATATAGATCAAGTTCAAAAAAGATCACTATTATTGTATTTAAGAGCTGCAAACATATCTTTGTAAATAAACTTATTAATTGACTGAAAAAGGACATAAATAAACATCCTATCTTCATAAAGGGTTTCAAATTTCATCTTAAGTAATTTTTATAAAGAAATTGAGAAAATTCAATTAAAAAAAAAATTTTTAAGTCCTTTCTTCCAAGTTCTCTAAAATATTCAACTCAAGATTAGCTCTAAAAATCAATATTAAAAAGGGGGATAAATTTGAATTTCAGAAGACTAAAATTCAGTGAAGGAGAAAATAAAGCAGGTTTATGATACAGTTTTTATCAAAGATTTGTTATTATATTAGGTTTTCAATAACTTTAAAAGTATAAAATGTGTTTGAGGATAATAATAATTCAAATTCCAAAGCTGCTGGGAAATTGTCATAAATTCTATTCATCCTTAATTTTTTATGAGTTTAAAAAAACCTTTCTCAATTAGAAATATGAAATTAATGGAACTTAGATATTAGTATCCATGATAATTTATGTTCCCATTTATTGATGGAGATAAACTCAATGTTGACAATCTATAGTTAGAATAGTGAATAGCATCAATTCTAAATTGCTTGTTTAATTGATAAAATGATCAAAATTAGAGTGTAATAATTTCTTAATGAGGTATTTTGTTGCTGATTAATAAAAATATATATTTAAAAAAAGAGAAATATCTATTAATGGAAAAAAAGGTTCTGTATAACATAAAATAAATTACTCATTAAATATAAACTTGTTTCATTACTGAATTAAAAATATAATCTTGCTGTTGTAAAGGATATCAAGAGAGATAGCAAAATGTGTGGATTTGCAAGAGCCATTAGAGTCTAAAAGTAGAAGGCGCAAAGAAATATTTGATAAATTCAGCATCCCAAAAATTTTGTAGAGATAAACATTACAAATTATGAGAAGGTTTATTTTGAACTTATTTGTAGATATTAGATGAGTTTTCAGAAATAAAGGCTGTTAAATAACATATTTAGCTCAAACAATCTTCAAAATTTGCGAAAGTTGCAAATTTACAACTACCTAGCATAGTTGAAGAATTTGGTGGTTTTCTTAGTTAGCAGGCTGAATTCTCATATGTAAGAATAGATTAAGTTAT